TTATGTTATCAAAAACTATTTTGAAAAGAGTAGCAACTCCAAAGAACCTTATATTTTCGTCCTTTTTCTCCCTTGCACTAATTTTTGACTTCCACAAAACACCTAGTAAAGAACGGAAACCCATGTAGACAAATACCGAGGAGTTGAATCCTAGAAAGCTCTGCCCAGTTCATACGTTTTTGGGTGCAACAAGACAGCAAAATGTGGCGGCAAGCAAGCTGCATTTATGGCGCAAAGTGGTTCGGCAACAAAAAAGCTGCATTATGGAGGAAAATGACATAAAATGCAAATGCAAATGCAAATGAAATGTAAATGTAAATGGAGGCTGAAATTAGTCAACAAAAGTGCATCAATGTGATAGTTTTTCAATTTACTTTTATGTCGGTTTATGTATTACAATCTTTGATTTAAATTTTAGATTAGATTTTGTAGAAAACATGCCATAAAGCATGTAAAGTAGGTAAAGAATACTATTTTTATGTTGAAAGTTTTTGCTATAAATGGGCAGAGGTGTTAATGGAAATGTGAGAGTTGGACAACAACTTCTCCCCTCCCCTCCTCTCCTCGATTGGGTGAATGTCTACACCTTGAAGGGTAGGGTTATGGTCACTACCTAGAATGTTAAGGCACCAAAAATGGTAAAATATTATCTTTAAAAATATTTATTTTATTTTATTTAATTAATAACAATAGCTAATGATAGTAACTATTAATTAATAACTGATGAAACAATTGATATTTATTAGTTAATAAATTAAAATTAGTAAATAAATTGATATTTTCATATAACTTTTTAAGAAAAAAAAATTAAAAAATTGGTAATCTTAACATTTTTCATGGTAGCAATGACCACACCCCTTCCATGACTATGCCAAATTCATGTTCTAAGTTCTTCTGCTCGAACTCTCCTCCAAAACTCTAACGGTATCAAGATGGTATACATGCAGGGGCTTTTTTGGTTAGAAGGGAAAAAAATTTTTATTGAAAAAATAGTTGCAAAAGTACTTTAAAAAAGGATAGTGAATTTTATATTGAAATTTTGTTTAAATATTATTTGAATGAGAATCTTATTTTATGGTTTAGACTATACTTGATAATAAAACAAAAACTATTGGATGGGAGGAAACTACTAATATCAGAGAGTCAAATCCCCATCCAATAGTTAGAATTATGTAGTCTAATATAATCCGAATTACACAACACTTTTTCCTACTTGAGTTATCACCCTTTTATATATTTTGTAAAAAGTTAATATTTAAGAAAGCTAGTGAAAAGATGTCAAGTAAGTCCCCCAGTTGGGAAAGTTGGGGAATTTTTTTTTTCTTTTAAGTTGTGAGAAAAAAAATTGTATATCAGGAATTTGTTTTAGTATTAAAGTGTAAAAATGCAAAAATCAGCATAGTTCAGATAGAAATATCCTCAAGAAAAATCAAAATTTAGAGAGGATGTCAAACAACAAATACAAGTAGGTGTTTCAGATGGTTTTGTTGAATAAAAGGGGCCAAATAATGGAATACTCTCTCAGGAATTTTAACAAACAGTTGGTGAGCACAATAAATAATGAAAGAAAATTAAGCAATTTGAGAAGTAAAGATCACAAGATGCTCTGTAAAATAATGGAATAGGAAGAAAATATATTTCAGATAATTATCATACCAGTTAACAGTCAAATGGCCCATAAATAGTCAAGGTGCCAACCAACAAAACTATAAAATAGCAACCACTATGCTGAAAAACTAAAACACGTTAAACTACTTCCTAATAACTAGGAAACACAAAGGCACCTACAAGGAAATGACTAAATACCAGGAACAATTTAAAGACTTATCCAACAAACTCTCCCCTAAACTGAACATTAGCAAATGATCAGTTTAATTGTTGTAAAAAATACAAACACCTAGCAACTCCCTTTGTCTCCTAAAAGCTGATAACTTGAGAGGCTTTGTAAAAATGTCTGCTATTTGATCTTCAGTCCTGCAGTAGACCAAATCAATGACTCCTTCATTTGTGAGATCCCTCAAAAAATGAAATTTCACATCCATATGCTTACACCTTCCGTGCAAAACAGGATTCTTTGAAAGTTTGATTGTTGAACTATTATCACAAAAAATAAGCATAGGACCTTCTTGTTTGACCTGCAATTCTTCAAGAACTTTCCTCAACCAAATTGCTTGACAAGCACATGTTGTTGCTGCAACAAATTCAGCTTCAGTAGTTGAAAGAGTCACAATTGATTGCTTCCTAGATGTCCATGAAATTGCTGCTATTCCCATGATGAAAACATAACCAGATGTACTCTTTCTATCATCAAGATCTCTTGCAAAATCACTACCTGTGAACCCGAACAACTCTGACTTTTCTCCATTTTTATAGAATAAACCATACTCAGCTGTACCTTGTAAGTACTTGAGAATTCTTTTTGCTGCCAAGAGATGAACTTCTTTTGGACAATCCATGTATCTACTAATAAGACTTACAGCATGCATGATATCTGGCCTTGTTGCAGTCAAATACATCAAGCTTCCCACAATTTGTTTGTACAAAGTGCTATTAATTTCCTTTCCCCCAAGATTCTTGACAAGCTTCAAACCCGGTTCAATTGGTGTGTTTACAGGATTACAATTCTTCATTCGAAACTTGTCTAAGATGTCTTGAACATACTTCTTATGAGAAATAAAAATACCTGCAGCAGATTGATTCACCTCTATGCCAAGGTAATAATGCATCAATCCAAGATCTGACATCTCAAATTCAACCATCATAGACTTCTTGAATTTATCAAACATAACCATATCATTTCCAGTGTAGTTTAAGTCATATATATACAAGCAGACAATAAGCATCTTCCCATCTTCTGATTTTATGAAAAGTGTATGTTCATAAGGACATTTTTTAAAACCTTCCTTCAGAAAATGAGATTCAATACGACTATACCAAGCCCGTGGGGCTTGTTTTAGTCCATATAATGCCCTTTTTAATTTATACACTTTATGCTCATTTCCAGCCTTAACATAACCAGGGGGTTGATGAATAAATACCTCCTCATCCAAGTCTCCATGCAAGAAGGCTGATTTTACATCCAGTTGATAGAGTGGCCATGAGTTCTGTGCTGCCAAAGCAAATACCAAGCGAATTGTATCATGCCTTGCAATCGGTGCATAAACTTCTTTATAATCGATACCAAATTCTTGCTTGTAACCTTTGGCAACTAGGCGGGCTTTGAATTTGTCAATCTCACCATTGTCCTTCAACTTTGTCTTGTAGACCTATTTTACTCCAATAGTCTTCTTCTCTTTTGGAAGTTCAGTTAACTCCCAAGTATTATTTCTTTCAATGGCTGTAATTTCTTCATCCATTGCCTTCTGCCATTTAGATTCTGTGGCAGCCTCTTCAAAAACTGTAGGATCACAGTTGAAAAATAGAGCAAAATGAGTAAGTGTGTCCTCAGAATGGTCTATTCCAGTTACCTCATAATCAGTCATCCATGCTGGTCTCTTTTTAACCCTCTGTGACCTCTGTTCGTCCTCTTTGGCTGCTGCTGGAGATTGAGCATCTTCTGGAGCATTTGAAGTGGATGCTGGTTGTTGCTCATCCATATCAAGTTGCTGCTGCACATTCTCAATTGACTGTTGTTTTTCTTCATCATCACCACCATCAAAATCTGCAGAAATACACTTAGTGGTACCATTTTTACTTCTTGGCCAAATCTGTTCTTCATCAAAAACAACATCCCTGCTGATTACAGTTTTCTTGGTGCTTGGATTATAAAGCTTATAGGCTTTTGATTGATTACCAACACTAAGAAAAATGCACTTTTCTCCCTTGTTGTCTAGCTTTTTCCTCTTCTGATCTGGAACATGGGCATAAGTAACACACCCAAAAATTCTAAGATGATCCACTGTTGGCTTGCGTCCACTCCAAGCTTCCTCTGGTGTCATGTCCTTAACAGCAAGTGTGGGACTTCTATTCAAAATATGGATGCTCCAGTTGACTGCCTCTGGCCAGAAATATTTTGGAATGCAACTCCTTGCCAAAAGACTCCGCACCATGTCCAAAATAGTGCGATTCTTCGTCTCACAAACACCATTTTGTTGAGGTGTATAAGCTGCTGTGATTTGCCTCTTAATCCCCTTATTGTCACAAAATTTTGCAAATTCATCTGAGCAATATTCTCCTCCACAATCAGTGCGAAAAACTTTGATTGGACTGCCAGCTTCTTTCTCAACAAGCACTTTATAGCTTTTAAAAGCTACAAAAGCTTCAGATTTATGCTGCAAAAAATAGACCCAAATTTTTCGACTGAAATCATCAATAAAGGTTATGAAATATCTCTTCCCTCCATTTGATGTAGGATTTATTGGCCCACAAATGTCAGAGTGCACAATTTCTAGTCGCTTGCCTCTGAGGCCTCATCGATTATTTAGAATAGACTAGGGGTCTACTCCATCGTGGCCGAAGGCAGCGTCTATTTTTTTTTCCAAGTCCGCTTGCAGCTCTAAGAGGTCCAGCATTTCTCTTACCTGGTTATGAAATACCAGGATTTATTGGCTGCAAAAAATAGACCCAAATTTTTTGACTGAAATCATCAATAAAGGTTATGAAATACCTCTTCCCTCCATTTGATGCAGGATTTATTAGCCCACAAATGTCAGAGTGCACAATTTCTAGTCGCTTCTTGGCTTTCAATGATTTTCCTCTTGAAAAAGGATTTCGATGCTGTTTGCTAACTACACATTCTTCACAAACCTCAGAAGGACTATTAAACTCTGGAAGCCCAGTGACCATGGTTCTCTGCTGAAGTGTCTTTAAGCCTCCAAAATTCAAGTGACCATAGCGAAAATGCCATAGCCAAGCCACATCATTTAATCTTGCTGAGAAGCATGTCTAACCAGGAGTTTTGAGATGGAGAGGAAACATCTTATTTGGGGTCATGGCAGCTTGAGCAATTAAGCCCAGATTATTGTCATGAATTCGGCATACTCCATTTTTTATGACAATTTCATAGCCTCTCTCTTGTAATTGACCAATACTCAGCAAATTTGTCTTCAATTCTGGCACATAAAGAACATTCGAAATAGTTTGAGTAGCACAATCTCTAGTTCGAATGTTTACCTGCCCTTTTCCCATGACTGAGATTTTTGAGTTATCTCCAAATTTCATGGTATCTCGGAATGATTCATCTAAAATGGAGAAAACAGACTTATCTCCACACATATGGTTGCTGCAACCAGTGTCGAGATACCACAAATTCTTGTTAGTTTCTTCCCTTGCATGACAGACCATCAACAAAGATATTTCTTCCTCCGTTTCTGCAAAATGAGACTTTTCTCCATCCATCTTAAGCAGATTAGCTCAACATTCAAATCTGTAATGTCCATACCTGTGGCATCGATAGCACTCAACGGTAGACTTGTCTGCAGACTTTGGCTTGTAAGTTGCTGAATGAAATTTGCCACGTCCCCTTCCTCTCCCTTGGGAATCATAAGATTGAGTTTGATGGCTCCTCTGATCCATATTTCCTCTGCCTCTACCTCTGTTGGCTTTATGTGGTGTTGAAGAATAGTGATCAGTTGATACCTTCAATGCTAATTCCTCCTTATCTTGGCGATTTAGCGTCCTTTCATGTATCAACAAGGAACTTTCAAGTTCATCAAGTGACATTTCATCAAGATCATTTGCCTCCTCAATAGCACAGACAACAAAATTATATTTTGGTGTCATTGAACGAAGTATCTTCTCAACAACAATAACATCTTGTGTCTTATCACCATGGGTCCTCAATTTGTTGACAATTGCCATTGTCCTAGAAAAATAGTCAGTAACAGTCTCACCCTCTTTCATTCGAAGTATTTCAAACTCCGAACGAAGTGCTTGAAGCTGCTGCCTCTTTGTCTTTGTGGTTCCCTGGTACTTTTTCTTCATTGAATCCCAAATTTGCTTGGAGGTATCTTTGCAAAGAATAGTCTCCAAGATTGTCCGATCAATTGCCTGAAAGAGATAATTTTTGGCTTTGAGATCCTTCAATTTTAAAGCCTCCAACTCTACCTTCTGAGCTTCTGACATCCCAACGGTTGGTTCTGCTACCCCAGATTCAACCACATTCCAATGTTCTTTGGACCTCAAGAAATTCTCCATCAGCATGCTCCAATGATCATAGTGACCATCAAAGCGAGGAATTGCTGGCTGCACAAAAGTTTCGGAGGCCATCTTTGCTGCTGCTATTGCTGCCTTCGATCTCTGGACAAACCAAGCTCTGATACCAGATGTTGAATAAAAGGGGCCAAATAATGGAATACTCTCTCAGGAATTTTAACAAACAGTTGGTGAGCACAATAAATAATGAAAGAAAATTAAGCAATTTGAGAAGTAAAGATCACAAGATGCTCTGTAAAATAATGGAATAGGAAGAAAATATATTTCAGATAATTATCATACCAGTTAACAGTCAAATGGCCCATAAATAGTCAAGGTGCCAACCAACAAAGCTATAAAATAGCAACCACTATGCTGAAAAACTAAAACACGTTAAATTACTTCCTAATAACTAGGAAACACAAAGGCACCTACAAGGAAATGACTAAATACCAGGAACAATCTAAAGACTTATCCAACAGGTTTAAGGCATGAAATCAATGAGAAACAGGAGGAGAAGCTTTGAGCTTCAGCTTAGCTTCTGCCAAATATTGCGTAGATGAATAAAATTAGCATAAAGTAAGCTGCTTGACTTCATTGCTTCTATGCATGCTACAAGATATATGCTGCGTCTCATAATGTGAGTAATCAAAGCATGTTCAGATGAATGAGTTATAAAAAAATTCGTGAGGAAGCAAAATACCATAAATCACAGACTTTGTTATTCCTTACTTGCAAACAACGTCTATATTTAAACATTCGTTCAAACATGCTTTTACTTGTTTGAGATTCTAAGACAATCATAAAGCAGTACAGAGGAAATAGCATATACTTTCCCACAATCTGATCAAAACTCTGATTCTTCCAATCGATTGAAGAAGAGACCAGAAGGGGCACCATTTGGCAGCAATGCCAATCTAACAGGACCTTGAGCACCTTCCTCAACAGTCAAGACTCCAGTATTATAGTTTATATCAGTTTTGACAAAGCCAGGACAAACACAATTAATGCAGAAACTGGGGTGTTTCTTAGCCAAAATCCTTGTATAGGCATTCATGCAGCTTTGGAGAGTTTATAGGCAGACATAAAAGCAGGCCACCCTTGAGCTTTTAGTGATCCCTCTTTAAAATCTTTCAGATATTTGTTCAATACTTCATCCACTCTCTCTTCTGTAAAGTTTTCAGCATCACTTAAGATCGTTTTCGCCCATTCATTTGATACATTCTGAAATAGAATCATAAAATGAACTTAATATCCATCAAGTGACTTAAGTCATGCTTGGGAAAAAAATGATAGCAAAAAACTTTTACCTTTAACCTCCCCATGGAGGAAGAAACGTTAACAATTCTTGGTGAATCAGATAACTGGAGGAGGGGAATAAATGCTTCACACATCATTTTGGAACCAAAGTAGTTTGTTTTAAGGCATTCTTCAGCCAACTCATAGGTTTCAGTTATGAGTCCCCTCCAGTTGATTTGTTCACCCGCCTGCATCTGAATTGATAAGAAGAAAATTAAACCTTGCAATCCATGCAGTTACTCTCAAAAGAAAATTGTGTTTGAATAGTTTTTTTGCTTTCTTTGTGGCAAAGAAATCAAAGGATTATATGAAGAAGATTTACCTTACTGACAACAGCATCACGATCTGTTGCCGCACCACCAATTCCTGCATTGTTCACCTGCACACGATGATTGGGGGATATGAAAATCATTCAGCAGTCATTTCATATTTCTTATGAACGAAAAATATTAGAGAATTTAAGTGATACCAAGATATCAAGCTTTTCAAATTGCCCCTTGACAAAATCTGCTAGAGAAGCAATAGTTGCAGGGTCTGCGACATCAAGCTGATGAAAAACTATGTATTCAGAGAGACCAGATTCTTTGAGCTTTTCAACAGCTTCCATACCCCTCTTCTCATTTCTAGCTGTCAAAACTACAGTCACCCCATGTGAAGCCAACTGCTTGCAAATTTCCAAACCAATACCTTTGTTTGCCCCAGTAACAACTGCGTACCTGAAAATGAAGGGAAATAAAAGAAGAATTAGGAAATTGGAACACCAAAAGAGAAAACTCGATTGAAGTGCAAAAAAAAAAACACCTGTTTGTTGCTACTGCCATTAATGGAGAAACTGGGATTATGAGCCAAGGAAAGGAGTGAGAGAGTATAGGCTTTTATGGTTAAACTGATGAAAACAAATCATCTAAGCGAAAAAGGCCGAGGAATCGTATGCACCATGTAGTCTTCTATAATTGTTTATTCTGTAAAGCGTTGGGGTCTTTTTTTTTTTTT